AATTACAATTATACATAAAAAGTTGAAAAATGATAAAATTGGATAAAAATTATCCCCAATTTGTGGTCCAACTGTTAATCCTATTGGAAAGACTACTAAATAAGTTACTAATGGGCGCAGTGTTGGTCAGATCGGATGTGACGGCCTGTGCGTTGGCCTGACCGCGACGGGACGGCCACGTGGGCCACGAGTATTGGTGCGGCGCTAATGGGTCTGAGGCGAGAGTTATGGTGTGATTGGGCCGCAGAAGACTACTGAAACCGATGGCCGGCGGCGAAGCACTTGAGGAGAATTGCAGTTTCGATGGTTGCGATGAGGAGGAGATGGCCGGCGATGAGATCAAGAGTGCATTGTTATTGTTGTTGAGACTACTGAGTAGAGAGGGTGGCCGTAAAGTACCGCCGCCGCGGATTGACTGGTGCTAGAAATGATTGTTTGATATATACAATGACTTTTTTAAACATAAATTTACACATCCAGAGAAACCCCGAGATTTCCGTCACCAGTAATACAAGTCATAACAAAATTTACGATAATATCATGCGATTATTAAATGATTAGTTTTTGTTTTTAAATAATATGCGATTTGTATATAATTAACGGCAGACAAACACAAATGAGTAGTGCATTCACACAATTATCAACGGCATTGTTATACATCCATTGTTTGGACTCTAACAAGTTAGCAAACTTTTCCTGGCCGTCAGTGACAGAGGGTATCGTCACGTAAATGTGTTTATCACCAGTTAATCCGATGCTTTTAGTGGTAATATTGGGTGCATTTGTTTGCCGATTGTTAGTGAGTTTAGTGCTGTGCGTGGCGTTTACCGACACCGAGTGATTACTTACTACGAGTCCAATGGGTGTCAACTGGACGTTGAGGATAGTTATGCGGCCCTCCTCTACAGTGAACTGCTGTTCAAGACTATTATACCCGTCGGCGGTAATGACCAGAGTGTAGACTCCGGGCAATAATATGCGCCAAAATTCGCCCCGTTTTGAGGACTTGAAGGCAATGTCTCGCTCTTTAATCTTAAGCGTAGAGGTGGTGATGGCGTTGCCGTTCACGTCAGTGATCATGCCTTTGACCCCCCGATGCACTTCACCCAAGTATAACAACAGCGACCGCTTATTCTCGCGCCAGTATCGGCCCAAGTCTTGTCGCGGCGGGTATTTGCAACACGAGAGCTCTAATGTGATCTCCAGACACGACGCGCGGATGTAGTTATAGTCTTGCATTCCGCCTGTGTTTGTGGTCATAAAAATGCATTATTATCTCAATTCAATCAAATAATGTAATCTATGGTTTACCAGTCAATGGATACCATTGCGCGCCATTAGTGGTTCCGTTGACAAAACCAGTGTTACTGCCATCAGGACAGGGATGGCCCAAATGCATAGTCAAGTGATTTAACGAATACACTGACGCCAAGTGTTTGAACACATCGTTATCTGGTGTCCGACTTTCACTCGAGTGAAGTGTAAATTGAGATAAGACTGCAATTATGGCCAGTAATTAGCAATTATTTAGTGAACACTTTAATACATTTTATCAAAATTATAATATTCTTTAAAATTAATGCAATAAATATTCTTCAATTATTTCCTCGAAAGATATGCGAAAACATCACTTTCTTTCGCATTCAAATCATCGTTACATTCATTTATATTCAATGTTTTGTATATTATTTATTCACAATAATTAAGGATTTCCTGATTTGACTAACTGTTGGTTTGTTGTTATCAAAAGGAAAGGCTTTATATTATTAAAAGTTAGCATATTTTTCGATAGCAATAAACATAATGTGAATTATATAACAGATTTATATCAGCATAAAAAAGTTTTATGCAATTAATTAGCGATAAAATCGCAATGAATTGCAAAACTCACTGGAATTGGGAGTATTGTCGTAGGGATAGGAAGCGACTAACGCTCCGCCGTGAAGATTGGCCGACAGTACAAACGGCACCGAATCCATCCATTCCCGGACGACCTCTGTTTCGGGCTGTTGTTGCTTATTGTTGGCCTTGAAATGGTCGGGAAAGTTACGGTTCAGATCAAACCCACGGATATTATATCTAATTAAATGCAAAACCACATTATAGCACAACAACCGCAACACCGATCGCAGCCATACCTTCCCTGACCACCCGTGCACTGGCCCTCCACTGAGTTCTCAAAGCCGTCCGGATTCATGGATGGCATGATATGTATGCGCGTGTTATCCAATAGAGACCTCACGTATGGATCAGTTCTGTAGTTATTCAAGAGGTATGGAATCAATTGCAACATCAGTTCTCGTCCGACGGCCTAACAATTGCAATCATTTGTTAATTTTGTATACATTGATATAACAAAATGATCATGGTACTTCGTTTCCGTGCATATTTGCCACATATTTTACGTTTGGCTTCAATAGCGGTTCTTCGTGTGGATTCTTAGTTAACAATAATACCCATAAATCGCGGCCTAATATCATATTATATCGAATAAATTAACAAAATTTTTCGTTTAAAAGTTTAAAATAAATTTGCAAATTATTTTGATTTCTGATTATAAAATCTATGAAATTTATATCATTTGATAATACAATATCGTTTAGCAAAAACAATATGATAAAAATAGGATAAGCATTTGTTGCAAACCTTGTACTGATTTGCCAATGGAGTAGAGATGTGCCAAATCGGGATTGCTTTGCGCCCATTGGGTCAGTAGAGTGGTCATGGCCTGGTGGTCGTGATAGGTCAGCTCAATGTCCTGTTGGCCGCGGACCAGCTTTACGGCTGACAAGTAGATGAAAAACAGGACGACAAACATGGCAGACATGCACCAGTAGGACGGCCTCATCGGTGTCTGTATTGCACAGCAAAATATTAGTGAACACAACGACCAAAAAGTGGACGAAGAAGTAAGAAGAAAAAAAGATGACTATTGGAAAACTATTATAACGGTTGCATATATTGGATGCAAATACTCGAATGAACTAAAAATCATGAAATAATAATTACAAACACAACTGTTCACAGAAATAGTTGCTATTCCTCTAAAAAAGATGACTATTGGAAAACTATTATAACGGTTGCATATATTGGATGCAAATACTCGAATGAACTAAAAATCATGAAATAATAATTACAAACACAACTGTTCACAGAAATAGTTGCTATTCCTCTGTCTCTCTCTCCCTCTCCCCCTCTCGCGAATAGTTTTACATCAAAACCACAACTAATTTGATAACGTTTTGCATTATGATTATTATAACGACTACTAGTGTCTAACCCAGGATGTAAACTATGTTAAGGATGTAAACCTGTTTTGCAGTGTTAATCATGTTTACAGTGTATTGTAGGGCGTCTGACAGAGAGTGGTGGTAGAAGTTAACTGTTCTCTCATCAGTAAATACTATCAAAAATACTATACTATTCTTCGCAATGTTTTGTGTGTTTTCTTTGGAGCAAAAACGGGAAAATCCAAACTCAAGATAAGATACGGTTAGTAGTATTCCCTGCGGGAGGGAAGGCAGTGATGGTGGGGGCAAAACATGGTTCAATTAATTGTCATGGTACTATTATAATACTACTATATTTCTATGCACTGTAAGATGAATTGACGTTTCGTATGGTTTAATAAATTGCAAACATCTGAAGCACTGAATAGCAAATTCACGTCTTATAAATAATACATTGAATCAAAATATGTGATCAGATTATTATTAAACAATGTTAAATAATATGAAAATTATTTCAATGCATTTTATTCATTAAAAATTTCAAAATATTTTTTAATTCATTAATTATAGTTCAACAATAAAACTAAAATTCGTTGCCAATAATAAGTGATCGAGATTTTTTTAGATTTTAGTTTAGTTTGCTAAGGTTACATATTATTAAATTGCTATAAATTAATGCACGTGAGTATTACAAGTAATTGATTTGTTGCAAATCAAGGTTAGTTTAACAAAGAATTTCTCATTGTTTAGCATTATTATGCCGTAAGAAAGATCAAACTGACCTCACCCTCAGTGGCACCACCACTACCACTACCCCCACCCAAACCCCACAATTCAAGACATGTTTCAGGTTAGCGCCCATACATGTAATGTGAGAATTTGATTTAGTACTTATCTAAAGTACTTAAAATTCAAATATTTGCTATTTAAAATGCACTAGGTCAATTTAAATACCCTTATGTCAACATGTTCAATGGCAAATTGTATGTTAAAAACAATTTTTAACTTGTAAGATTTGTAACAGCATTTTATTTCAAGTAATATCATTTGTAAAAATCTACAAAATATTATTATGCTTAATAAATATTTATAATTTGTACAAAGTTTTATTTAAAATTTGTTAGCTCTAGACGACAAGCACAACACGAAGGCCATAATTAGTAATTCTAACCTCAATTTAGCATGATAATTCAGATTTTCGAGATCAATCTACCCTCCCATCCTTGTCATGGAGGATAACATGAAACAACGTGTTATTCAATAGTTAATACTGTATTATTTAAAATTACAATAATGTTCCTATGAACACCATTTCAGTAGACACTATCCAATTTATTTCTACTACTGTATTAAATCTGTGGGCTAACAGTAATATTATACAGTTATCAAATAAAGTTATTCAAATGTCCAAATTCTTCTTTTGTTTGAATTTTAGATGACCAAGACAACATTTATAAACATAAATATATATTATATAAATAAACTATATATAAATCCAGCTCAATATTTAGCATTTTACGTGAAATATAAGTAATTTTTTAAATAAGGTACAAATAAAATATAATTTAGAAATATTTTTCATTGAAATCTATGTATAAAATTGAGATAACATTAGATTTAAATCCCTCTTATATTAAATATCCATCAAATGTTCTGTGGATCTCAATATTAGATTAAACAATATTTATTGTTTTGAAGTTTATTTTTTAAGATATCACATGATAAATCTTAATCACAATTCATTAAGTAAGGTAAGTCAAGTAAAATCATATTCTTAATGTAATGCCTAATTTAGTTTTGCATAATTATGGGTAAATTTAAGTATTGTAAACATACATTATTGCCAAATGAACTTACCATTAGGAATTGTAGTAGTAAAGCCAAGTGTGTTATATTTAAAGTTTAAATTAATAAGTTGTTAATAATAACTCACGGATTATCAATGATTCAAATGCTGTAAATTTATATCCAAATGAACAGGTCTACCAAACTTGTAAACCAAGTTCTGCATAGAATGTATCATGTAATAACTTTTTGATTACTTAACGTAGATAAATGGTTGATATATCAAAATAAACTGTAAACTGAGTTTTTTGTTCATAAAAATAGTTATTTTTCATTTGTTTAAATTGTTTATATTATTTATTTATACGGTATTAATGAAACATTATAATTGATCTGCAAATAACATTTTCTAACTTATTTACTCAAGATTACATAAGGATTGTATATTAAGGTAATCAAACTCTATTATTTGGAGTGAAAAGAGAAGTGAAACTTTTCTAGACATAGAGAATGAGTCGATGCATAATCCAATGTCTTTAAATACGGTTATTAGTCTTTTGGTAGATTTTGTGGACATATTATTATAAATTTAATTTTAGAAATTACGTTAACATTCTTAGAGCACCAGAAACCGAGTTTCATTAAAATTGAATGATTACTTTTATTAAAATATATTTTCAAAGTGTATGAGACAGAATTATTTTTGAAAAATGATACTTCAATATTAAAAAATAAATTCCTATATTTTTTTGTCTAACTGTCTAATAAACAATAACGGATATAAATTTTATATTATAAAACACCAATACTGTACTATTATTTGTTACATTTATTGTAATTTATAAAAATTGTCGATTTTATAACAGTTTTGTTGTATTCAATAAATGATTTAAATAATATTATACAAACTTCTAACAAGTAAGTTAAAAATAATATTAATTTTTATAACTTAATCCTGACCACCCGTGCACTGGCCCTCCACTGAGTTCTCAAAGCCGTCCGGATTCATGGATGGCATGATATGTATGCGCGTGTTATCCAATAGAGACCTCACGTATGGATCAGTTCTGTAGTTATTCAAGAGGTATGGAATCAATTGCAACATCAGTTCTCGTCCGACGGCCTAACAATTGCAATCATTTGTTAATTTCGTATACATTGATATAGCAAAATGATCATGGTACTTCGTTTCCGTGCATATTTGCCACATATTTTACGTTTGGCTTCAATAGTGGTTCTTCGTGTGGATTCTTAGTTAGCAATAATACCCATAAATCGCGGCCTAAAATCATATTATATCAAATAAATTAACAAAATTCTTCGTTTAAAAATTTAAAATAAATTTGCAAATTATTTTGATTTCTAATTATAAAATCTATGAAATCTGATAATACAATAATCGTTTAGCAAAAACAATATGGATAAGAATATGATAAGCATTTATTGCAAACCTTGTACTGATTTGCCAATGGAGTAGAGATGTGCCAAATCGGGATTGCTTTGTGCCCATTGGGTCAGTAGAGTGGTCATGGCCTGGTGGTCGTGATAGGTCAGCTCAATGTCCTGTTGGCCGCGGACCAGCTTTACGGCCGACAAGTAGATGAAGAACAGGACGACAAACATGGCAGACATGCACCAGTAGGACGGCCTCATCGGTGTCTGTATTGCACAGCAAAATATTGGTCAACACAACGACCAAAAAGTGGACGAAGAAGTAAAGAAGAAAAAAGATGACTATTGGAAAACTATTATAACGGTTGCATATATTGGATGCAAATACTCGAATGAACTAAAAATCATGAAATAATAATTACAAACACAACTGTTCACAGAAATAGTTGCTATTCCTC